TCACTCTTTCGCTCCAGCCCCTAAAGTGCCTCAACCCACTCCTGCTCCTCCGTAAGTGTCTACTCACTCCATGGTCGCTTGATCTCGCCATGATATTACTAAACCAATTCAAAAACTCAATCTTCATATCATCCTTGATTCTTCTTCTCATGTTCCTCGTACATACACTCAAGCGTTTCGAGATCCGAACTAGTTAAATGCTATGAAAGATGAATATAATGCACTTATTTCTAACGGGACTTGGGTACTTTTACCTCGGCCTTCGAATGCTAATCTGGTTAATTGTATTTGGTTGTTCAAAAAGAAACTTAATTCAAAAGGATCTCTTGCCCGATACAAGGCGCATTTTGTTGCTAATGGTTGCAGTTAGTGACCCAAGATAGATTGTGATGAGACTTTTTGCCCTGTTGTTAAGCCAACTGCTATATGGATGGTTCTAAGTATAGTCATCTCTCACTTGTGGCCTGTCCATCAGTTAGACGTGAATAATGCTTTTCTTCATGGTCACCTTCAGGAGACCGTTTAGACGCACCAACCCTCAGGCTTCCGTAACACCTCAACCCTTTATCATGTTTGTCTTTTTCATAAATCTCTTTACGGTCTCAAACAGGCACCACAGTCTTGGTATCACATATTTGCTCAGTTTATCACTCGATTTGGGTTCATCAACGACAAATCTGACTCGTCTATTTTCATATACAAACAGGGTAACAATCTTGCCTATCTTTTAGTCTATGTAGATGATATTGTGTTAACCGTATCTTCAAACAAACTCCTTGGACATGTCATTTCTACTCTACGGGTTGAGTTTGTCATGACTAATTTGGGTTCTTTGAACTACTTTCTTGGTGTTGAAGTCACTGGAGATCACCATGACATGTTTTTATCTCAACAAAAGTATGCCACTGAGATACTTGAACGCACAAAGATGTGTAACTGCAAACCCGCACGCACACCGGCTAACACCACAACCAAGAGTGATGGCACGGGTCCTCTTGTTTCCGACTCGACACTTTACCGCAATCTTGCAGGTGCTCTTCAATACCTGACTATTACGCGTCCGAACATCTCCTACTCGCTTCAATAGGTGTGTCTCTACATGTATGACCCTCGAGAGCAACATTTTTTTGCACTTAAGTGAATTCTTTGGTATGTTCGGAGCACTCTCGATCATGGACTTCGGCTATATGTATTTCCCCCACGGGGTTTAGTTGCTTACATTGATATCGATTGGGTTGGTTGACCCACTACTCGTCGCTCCACCTCCGGCTACTATGTGTTTCTTGGTCAGAATCTCCTCTCCTGGTCTTCAAAGCGTCAAACTACCATCTCTCGGTCTAGTGCCGATGCGGAGTATCATGCTGCTGCGAATGCTATTGCTGAGACGAGCTAGCTACGTAATTTGCTTTATGAATTACTTTATCTGCCTCTCACTGCCACTCTAGTCTATTGTGATAATGCCAAGTGTCGTATACCTTTCTACTAATCTCGTTCAACATCAACGAACGAAACATATCGAGATTGACATCCACTTTGTTCGGAAAGTTGCCTTGGGACACATTCAAGTTCTTCATGTTCCCTCAGCTTCACAGTATGTGGATACCTTCACCAAAGGGCTTCTGTCATCTCTATTTCTTGATTTCAGATCCATAACATCCGTTCGTGGCCTCCCATTCTGACTGCGAGGGATGTTGGCATTTTTTTACACTCTTGTATTTATTTTGTATAGCACATTTAGTTTTTATATAGCTAGCCCATTCTTTGCATTCAACCCATGTAATATTGGTATTTATATGAATGGAAACCCGAAAGACGTGAAGCCATTCAGGAAAAATCAGTATCGTATCAAAAAGTAATAAAGGATAACTGATAATTCAATTAAAATTTAAAAAGTGATAAAGGGTAACTGATATTAGCATACTACACACGTGGGTTATTTGATGCCACATAAAGCGTGGTTGGCGATATGGTGCCTCATCATTATAATTACATTGACAAGTGAGCCTAAAATGACCGGTAAATGATCGTATATCTCACACTTTGTTACAGAAGGATGTTAATAAACGTAAAAATAATAATAATAAGTATTTCTTAGAATGGGAAAATGCAAGGAAATTATAATTTCTTGCATTTCTTTTACTTAAATTTTAGAAATAAAAGATGTTTAAAAAAAAAAAAAGCAAATAATGAAATAACAGAAACACTATTATAAACAAACCGAAAACTGTAAACTACACACTGATACACATACACTCCCCTGAAATGTAAGATCTAAAACGGGCCAAGTTCATGATATTATACAACAAGAAAGTCAAAGTCAAAAACAAAAAACAAAATCATCGAACATCAAGCTTACCAGAAGGACTAAGATTCCCCATCTTTTCTGTAATTTTATCTAAATTATTATTCGTATTCCACAAAGATTTACGCTGACCCAATTCATCATGTTTGTTAATTACATCCCGCCTTGCTGACTGGACTTCCTGTGTGTCCCCACCGCCAGGTGTCTCCGTAAGAAACTGTTCCCAAAACACATCATTCGCTCCCGCTTGCACTGGCGGCACCGTGGCGGCACCACCATCACCATCCGTGGCGGCAGCAGGGGCGGCATTCACGTCAATCCCTGAAGATTTCACCCGAGAAACCTCGTTGAAATCACCGGAAACCTGCTTTTCCGGCTGTGCAAGTATGCCAAAATCGTATGTTTCTTCACCGGAAACTTTAACAATGTCGGTTACAAAATCCGTCCAAAACTTCAAAGACGATTCCAACTTGTTCAACAACGGAATGGAATCGGGATTCCCGTTGTCGTCGGCATTGGCTTCATCGTGCAAGTAAGTTGTTATTAGCAGCCGTCTTTTTCTGGTGTTGGATTCCAAAAACCCGGGTTTTTCAAGGATTTGAGCAAGGAATGACATTGTTTTCTTGTGTCTTAGTTGTATTTTCTGTACTCTTTCGCGTAAAGAAGCAAAATTTTGTTCGTATTCTTGATTTTCTTGTTTGTGTCTTTGTAGCACAAGGCGAAGGGAATTGGTTTCATGTTTTAGTTTTTGGATATCATCCTCGTATTCTTGTCTCTCTGAAGGAGACAGGGTGGCCGGAGTACTTCCTTGTGGTGGTGTTGAGTGGCTGTGGATTGGTTTCCGGCGGTGGATCTTTTTCAGAAGGTGTCTTTGTCCTCTTAGGAATTCATCGTTTGCAAACTCCCATTGGTCAGGATCTATCTTTCTAAAACCCTGTATAAAAGTTTTCCATTAGATTTGGCTAAAATAGAAGATGAAGATTTTGTCCCACATTGATAACAAGAGGAAAAATCTTTCGAGAGTTTGTGATTGTAATAATTAATCATATAACGTGGTTTTGTAATAACAATAAATAATCATTAATCATCCAACATGGTTTTTCTTCGGTTTTCATCATTTAAAGCAGCAGAAAATTTGCCCTACACTACACCTTTTTAAAATTGGCAAAAAGAATGTAACTTCATTGCATAAATAAGTGTATTACTCTAACATAACGTATTAGATATACAAGAGACAACAAGAAGATGCTTACATATGTATTGAGCTGTCGAACAAAACTTGAGAAATTGTTGTGCTTGAAGTATTTAGGAAGCAATTCACTGGCGAATTCAGGTGGATTCCAAACAACAAAACTACTCCCAGTATGACTCCAAGAAACAATATGATCTGTCAAAGGGTCATCTACCATTTCATATGTTTTAGTCAGGAAAGGGGGTGATGAATTTGAACCACCTTGAGAACCATCCATCACAATTCAGAACACTTCAATCAATCAATCAATCAATCTCTATAATTCGTATCCACAAACACTAAAATCATCTTCAGCAATTCCTTTTAATTTCAATTAGCTCAAATCAAACCAACCTGCCCCAATTAGATCAAATCCATAATCAGCACTAGAACCAATTGATAATCACGGATATTGTCAATAGGGTTGAAATGATATGGATAAGACATCCAGAACGACCTAGGGCATGTAACATAGATTACGGAAATGGCAATTGAAATTAAAACATTTCTTCAAAGATCCCGAGTTTTTGATTTTAAAATAAATGTAAGGATAGGGGTTAGATCAAAGAAAGTATTCGTGATTTCGTATGGAAGAACTTACTTTGACTACAATAGAGGAAGACGACGAGAAGTTGACTTTGAAGTTTAAAGTTGAATAGCTTCGGATTGATCGAGTTTAATCTGGAAACGTATGTTTGATTTCAATACAAAGGGGGGAGGGAGAGAGGCGTGTGATGGATAAATTAATCTGGGTTCGACCCGAAACGAAGTGGAAACAGCCAACGACACGGTGGGCATTTAAAGAGTCACCGCCGCCGCCATGTGTCTCATATAATGATCATTAGCGGCCGTTGATGAAAATTAACAAAAAATTAATTGAAGGAAAATCCGTGTAATATTTTAAGACACTTTTAAGCCCATAGAATTTTTGGGGAATTAAATAGATGAGATGATTGATTGTGTGTTTAATTTTCTTCGTTTAGGTGATGTATACGTAATAATTAAAATCTATAAATTTATATTAAATATGTAACATCATGTTGAAAAGAAAACAAATACCGTAAAGATTAAAATCTATAAATTCTTAGTAAATACATTATGATGATTGATTGTGTGTTTAATTTTCATTTTTTAAGGCACTTTTTAGTCCGTAGAATTTAAAATCTACAAATTCATAGTAAATAGATTGTGATGATTGATTGTGAGTTTAATTTTAATTTTTTTAAGACACTTTTTAGTCCATAGAACTTTTGGGAAAGTAAATAGATTATGATGATTGATTGTGTGTACAATTTTCATCGTTTAGATAATGCACAGATAATAATTAAAATCTATAAATTCATATTAAATATGAAATACTTACCTTTAGTTCAAATTTTCACACCAAGTAAAGATTAAAAAGTGTTTGAGATTGCTTATTTGAAATATTTGTTAGAATTATTTGGTTCGGGCTCAAAGACAACCTTCCTTACATTTTTATTTGTTTTTTTTTTTAGTTCTGAATTTATAAAAGTGGATTGAATTGCTAACGATATTTGAACTAATATAATATTGTTGATATAAATATTGTTTTTATAGAATGAATGCGGCTATTTAAAATAATAAATTGCAATTTTTTTAATACTTTTTATAAAATATAAAAAATATATCATTTATTTAAGACAAAACTGCAAATTTGGTCCTTGTGGTTTGTAAAAATCTTTGGATAAGGTCCAAAAAGTTTTCAGTTTGTACAGAAGGTCCAAAATCAAGAGTTTTCTGGGTTTTTGGTCCAAAAACTTTGAAATTACCTATTTACCCTTTAAATTTCAGTTTTGTATTTTTTTTTGTTTATTTTATTTCTTTATGAAATAAAAATAAAAAAACAAAAAAGATAGCACTCCACCCCTATCGGTACCCTCTCTCTCTCTCTCTCTCTCTCTCTCTCTCATCCTACGACCAAAAAACCCAACTTCTCCATCATCTTCTTCCCATAGGTCTATCATCTTCTCACCATCTTCTCTCTATGGACACACCACCTGCAACCTCATATTTGTTACAGTTCACCGATAAGCAAACCCCCTTCACATTATAATTCCCACCTTCAACCACTACAATCATAAACACGACCTGCAAATCAGAAAGAAATCACACACAAGTTCATTTTTCTTCAACCAGGTTTACACCATTTTTGACTTTCCCGTGTATGTGTGTGTGTGTGTGCTTCCAATTTTTCAATGTGTGTATTGAACCTAGATGTCAAAACTTCGATTACTTGTGGCTATATGCTTTGATTGTCCTTTCTTCTTAAGAGCCCTAATTTCTTTGATGTGTGTGTGTGTGTGTTTGTATGGACTCTCGAGGACCACAAGTTGACTATACGTGTTCCACCCCCAATCAACCCCACCAAGGATGGGTAAAAAGATGAAGAACATATGTATTACTTCCCCAATCAGTTAACAGCCAATACCAAGAACAAAGGTTTGATTCTTTTTGTTGGAAGTGTTGATTGACGATTGAAATAAAGAAACCCTAAAAAAATGAGATTTATAGGTCTATGTAAAGAAGATGATGAACATGGGAGACTTCTCCCCATTTTTTTTACTAGGCCTCAATCTAGAATGAAAAGGGAATGTGCCCGATCGTTGCTTGATTTCAACATTGTTGCGTGATTTATCCATTGTTGCTCGATTTAAAACATCCCATCTCACCTTTTCAGTGCAGGAAATCATGAAAATGGTGTTTGCAATTCTGTTTCGATCTCTACTTGATATTATTACCCATGAAAGCAAGCTGCTAGAGGTTTTGAGATTGCTTAATCTCTTCATTTCAAAGAGAACAAGAGTACTTTGGGAGAATAATCAACGGAGAGAGAGAGAGAGAGAGAGAGAGAGAGAGAGAGAGAGGGGGAGGAGGAGGAGGAGGAAGAGAGAGAAGGGGGAGGGCTCCGGTGGGGGATGGGTAGAGAGAGAGAGAGAGAGAGAGAGAGAGAGAGCTAACTTAATTTTTTTTTGTATTAATATTTATAAAATAAAAATATAAAAAATACAAAAAAAAATTAAAGGGCAAAACAGTCAATTCAAGTGCTCCATGGACCAAAAATACAAGAATTTCTTAAGTTTAGGACCAAAAACCCAGAAAACTTTTGATTTTGGACATTCTGTGCAAGCCGGAAACTTTTTGAACTCTATCCAAAGATTTTTGCAAACCACAAGGACCTAATAATTATAAATTTTAAATAAATTAAAAATAATGTGATACTTAACTAATACATTCTAATAAAAATAAATCTAACATATTAATTATACTAAATTAATAGTTTTATGAAGAAAATTAGATGTATATTTAAAAAAATGTTCCTCGTTACAATGAATTAATATGTTTATAGAATTGGAACTTATATGTCAATTATTATAAGATAAAGATATCAAGGAAGCATGTTACTTTTTATTCTCTTTTATTAAGTATATTTTTTTAAAGATTTTTTTATATTGTTATTCTTAATGTAGAGATAGGAAGCCTGTAAAAATAAACTAATTTATAAGTAATAAAAAAGATTCTAAAATCATAAGCATGTCATTTTAATTTGGAGGAAATCGTGAGTGGTATGGAGGATAATTTTGGAAAAACAAATATAAGATTACCACTTAATGTTAAGGAGATCTATTTTCCAACTTAATCAATTAAAATAATTTGTTAAAGTAAAAAGCGATATTATATAGCTGAACTTATTAAGTTTTCTAAACATTACATCATTAAGTAAATAAAAACAACCCCTAAATTCACTTAAGGTAATTTTCTTTGTCCTTGGTAATCACTTTTATTGTTAACATAACATTGTAATACATGCACCTATCGGTGTGTAAAATTGCCAATTATAACCACCCAATCTAAATTGCTAATTATAACCAACCAATCAAATTAAAGTCAGCAAATATGTAACAACTATTTTTCCAGGTTTGTTTTCGGACCCTCGAGTTATGAATTGTTGCAAGAAGGGTACCTGATGTCAAATTCCATGACTTTTGGGTGTTGCTCGAGTACGTTGGGTGTATATGTTGGTACGTTGGGCGTACTGTGACCGCGCCAGTATGCTGCACATATTCCTACATGTTGGGCGTACGTGGTTCAAACCAAAACCCTAAGACTTAGGGCATGTGCACTATTTAAGCACCATTGTATCCCCAAGACCTTTCCCTTTATAAGCCTCCATCCCAAGATCGACCCTCCTTGCAAACCCTAGTCCATTTTGAGCATTTTGAGCTTGTGAAGTGAGTTGTGTGCTTCCTTGTTTGTGAAGAAGAACCTTCAAGGAGTAGGCTTTTCTCTCAATACTTTGGATCCAACATTTTCTCTTCATTGTGTACCATTTGGAGGTACAAAGCTTGAAACTTGGCTTATGTTTCTTTAGATCTTAATTAAGCCTTGATTTTCATCCTTTTTGTCCCAAAACCAAGATCTTGGTGAGTAAGAGGTAATCCAAAGCCTTTAAGGTGTTCTTTCAGAAGTTTTAAGGTATTTTAAGTCATAAAAATGCAAGCTTGGATCTTGATTCGTCCCCATGCAAGAGTTATGGTGTAGAAAAGGTTTAAGTAAGCTAGGTTTTTAGTGTGGGCTTCTTGTAGCCATGCAAAGGCATAAAGTTTGCAACTTTATGGCTTTAGGGGTCTTATTAAGCTCAAATCTAAATTTTGGTCGTAGGGTCTTAAGGCATTACTACCTTAGTATGAGTTTTTCCTAAGGGGTGTGTACGCTGGAAGTAATTCCCAGTACGCCGAGCGTACTGCACCTTATTCGTGATCCTTTCCTGCTTTGGTCAAGTATGCTGCATGTACCAGTTGGTACGTCAGGCGTACTGACCAGTCCAGATTTGGTGATTTTGGGCCTTAATTATTGGGCTTTGCTTGTTCAGCTTGGACCATAGATTTTCATGGTAATGGGTCACTTCTGATTTTGGGCCCATTTTGGACTTTGGATGATCTTTAGGGTTGAGCCTAGGATATTTTTATTGTGTTTAAAAGAAAAGGATTAATTGGCTCTTTTACGTTGGACATTAGGCAAATACTGTAGATTTTCAGTTATGGGTTATGTCCCAATTATTAATTGGGACTTTGTTTGTTTAGTTAGCATAGGGATTTTTCCAGTCCAGCAACCCGAGCATTTGTCTGGTTTTTCAACAGTTGAGGTAAGTTTTTTCACTATATCCAGGGGTCGAAGGCACCAACATTGACTCATTACTTGCTATATGGTATGCTAGTT